CACTTTAATGCTCATAATGTCCTTTTTCTTAGCAAGTACAGTGCATATTGTTGACATAGATTTGTTGTACTGCCTAGCTAGTTCAACAACCTGTGCACCATTTTGATGTTTATGAATGCTCTCTTGTTTTTCCTCTATGGTCATTCTCACATGTGTTTTCTTGGCTTGAACCTTACCACTGGCTTTCTTGGGACTCATGGCAAGATATATCATAACAAATTTTATGTTCAAATAGCCAAAAATCCCAAAACAAATGTAATGCTTTACAAAGAATTCAGGCGCGATACTTACTAGGCAGGAGACACTGGTAAACTGAGGCGCGATCACCATGCCACCACGCGCTAGGTCAGCCCATACGTATATCAACAAACTCCTTTCCCGAGGCAAAGTTTGTAACCCGATTCAAATTTTTCGAAGAAATTAGGCTCGTAACCCGAAAAGTTCATAAATATTCATTCGTAAGCCGAGGTGTCACTATATATAACTAAAAAATTAAACTCAGGATTACTTTCAACCCCCACCCCTTTTGCTCTACTCCATCGCCACCTACCTTCACCCCCCTCTATGATGTACTCTTCCATAGACACCTACCTTTGCCCCCCTCCTCCCCTCTACTCCTCCATCATCACCTACCTTCACACCCCCTCCCTTCTCCTCCTCCATCGTCACCTTCCTTTCACCCTCCTCTATGATGTACTCTTCCATAGACACCTACGTTCACTGCATATAATGCTCCCCTCTACTCCTCCATCGTCACCTACTTTCACCCCCCCCCCTCCGCTCTACTCCTCCAGGGTCGCAGACAATTTCACGAGCGTGAGAACTACGAGTTCTCTAACCACTCTCACACTCCTACTCTCTCACCAGTGAGGGGGAGGGAAGGAGGGAGGAAATGAAGGAAGAAAGGTGGGGGAGAGAGAATAGGCAGGGGGGAGGAGGGCCTAGATACATTTCTTCCATATAGATAGGTAGACTGAGGGAGAGCTGCTTGCCAAGAGCCCTATCAGACAGGCTTCCTATTCCTCAACCCTCCCTAATATGCCACATCCTGGTCAGGACAACTTGCTCGATTGTTATTCTTGGTGTGACTCGAGAACTGACCTCGAGGCGGGGCATGGGCATGGATTATCTCCCTGGGGCACGCACCTCCCTGCCCCAGCTCTCTCTCTCTCTCACATAATCTATCAAGGGTCTAACATGAGGTCATTGTGCCTACCAGAAGTGTATATGTCCAAGGCTGGCCACCTGTCTGGACCATTCAAATGTATAAACACGTAATTAGTCTATTAAAATTATATATAATGCTACAATTATAAATTAATTTGTTCATGGTCATTCGTTTATCAGTATTTTAATATGAGGTATATATACGCATGTATGTATACGTTGACGTACACATATATGATTATGTGTATGGAATGATTATGATTATGTGTAATCATATATGATTATATCTAATGGAATGCATTAGTAAGTGATGTGGTGGAGGCTGACTCCATACACAGGTTCAAGTGTAGATATGATAGAGCCCAATAGGCTCAGAAACCTGTACACCTGTTGATTGACGGTTGAGAGGTGGAACTAAAGAGCCAGAGCTCAACCCCAGCAAGCACAATTAGGCGAGTATATGAACGAATGCACATGTACACTTTCAAATGAATTAAGATACCTTGAGATACACAATGACTTAGTTTAAATAGTTTAAACACATTATGGTACTGATTTTGACATGCTGATGTCTGGAAGGGAGAGGGGGTGTGGGGGGTTATTGTCTGAGGTGGAGGACCAGAGGAGGGGGTCAGTGGAAGGATGGTGGCTGGAGGGATGCCATTGTTCTAATGGTTATGAAAACAATTATTGATGGCAGGAATTCAGTGGGTGTGTACTTCACCCGCACCATCACCATACTGTGCCCTGCTACAACCCCCCCCCCCCCACTCCACCCATGCTGTGCGGGGCGTATTACACATTATGGGATAACCGACTGTCTGTCCATTCCTGTCTGCTCGTTATGCTGCCCTTCCTTTTGAAAATTGTCTGCTTTATCGACTTCCTTCAAGACCACACGTTAGCCTCTTATCACGCCCTCTTACCACTCTCAGGGAGCCGGCTCTTCTATACAATAGTTACCACTCAGTCCCCAAGGTGAAAGAGTGTCCGGGCATATGACTTGTTACGTGTACTTATTTGCGATTCGTTTGGGCTGTCACGTGTGGTGATTAGTGTTGGGTAAGGCTAGGCTAGGTCAGTCAGACTCAGGTCTAGGTCAGGTCAGACTAGGCTAGGTACTAGGCTAGGGCCAGGTCAGGTCTGGTCAGGTCTGGCTAGGCCAGGTCAGGCCAGGCCAGGCTAGGCAGGGTGAGAGAAGTAAAGCGGCAGGTACTTACGTTTCCGAGAAAGTAGCGGCGGTAGTATATTGTTGATTTAGATTCGACGACATCCTGAAGCTAGTAGGTGGCGGCCTCATCGCTCTCGAACTTCTTGTTGTTGTAGGGGATACGAGGCACACCCAATATCCCCCTTACATTGATCACATCGCACACTAATATTTTTACTATTTCGGACACCAGATTTGTCTGTTTCGTATATGTATAATTGTTCAATATTAAAACCACAATAGAATGCTCTAAGTACTTTCGTATATTAATACATCTTCAGAAGGAATGGTTCGCTCTGAAGATGTATTAATATAAGAAAGTACTAAAGGAAATTCCTGTTTCAATTCTTCCTCCGTGGTCTGACACTCTTATTATATATTGTATATACTGAATTATATATACTATGCTTATATAATATATACTGAAATATTGTTACATTTAACGTATGAAACAAAGTATATATCTGTATTTTTAATAAAATATAAAACATTAATATTTATCAACGTATCTCTGTGAATTACATAATTTATCAGTATTGTACAGCCTGTGATCTCCACCTGGCTGGCCACTGATACCTAAGTAGCTTTCATGTGTCCGGACACCGGCGATAGGATTGTATTATTTAACTTTAAAGAGAGAGATATTTCTTGAAATGTTGTCACATTAACGTCTACATCTTCCTTCCTTCTGACATATAGATTTTAAGGTTAATTAGCATATATGGAAATAAATTACACAATTTATAGGCTGGTGTGAAGGGCTTCACACTCTTAGAGCAAGCCATCAAGAAACTGTACAGTATCAAATGCATATATCTTCGCTTTCACTTCAGTTATATTTATGACAAGTATTTAAAGTGTAGCTTATATTTCTGCCTTTCTGTTGACATAGAAAACTTTCGTTTATTACATTATCTAGATAAAATTAGCATTGATCTTCAAAAGGTTGTAGTTGTAACTTCCATTATAAACAACATTATTATTGCAAACAGTAGGAGTTTCAAAGTCTCATTTGTATGGATACCTTCTCATATAGGTGTTGTCCAGCATGATGACACAAACAAGGCAGCTAAAACTGAATGTGATAAGCCTGAAGTTGAGTGGGATATGGGCATTCCAATCTCTTCTGTCAAAGCCGCAATATTTTAGGAAATTAGGGAAGACAGAAGAGCAGTCACTGACACACAAAAGCCAGAAAGCAAGAGTATAAAGAGCTATGACATGTTTATGTGCCTCTGTAACCTTTTCCACTACCGCCCACAAGATGATATATGGGGTGCATAATTAATGAACTAAACTAAGTAAACATGTTTAGAATCGAGAATTATATGAACGGACAGCATAAAACTTCCACTAGTGTCACAATGACAGTGTGACATTGTAATTGCCAGAATTAGGCTAGGATATCGATATGTATCGCAGGTGGCTGCAGGTAATGAATAGCCCCCAGTGGTTAATATTCCAATTGTAAACTATGTGAACAAGAGCTGGGACATACTCACCAACACTATATCTGTGATTGCCCTGTTATAAGTGACTTCAGACCAAATGGTATAAGGTACTTTGAACTCTGTAATTACTTCATACACTTAGGAATATTGGAAGATATTCTTATGCTGTACCCGGATTTTGTTCTTTTTTGATTTTGTTCTGCCGTTCTTCTGACATAAAAAGACCTTTGGTTTAATAAGTTATTAAGATGTTTTCAACAATATTACTAGGGCGTTCACCGATTCCAACTTGGGCGACCCTTTTGGAAACGCAACACTTGGGTTGACCCGATTGACAGACTGGTTATATTCCAACAGGGTTTGAGACAGTACACATGTCCACATCCCAATGCCCGCCCTTCCAGGACTGGGGGTGCGGGGGTGTACAATAAACTATACCCACCTCCGGCGGCAGCTTGTCGAAGGCGGAAGTGTAGCCTAGACAATTTGTCATGATAATTAGTGATGGCTCTTATTTTGATTATGGGTCCGTAATCCAGTTAAGCTTTTATTCTTAATTTATATTACAATGCTGATAAAATACACTTCTTGATGATGAGTATGGAGTACAAATGAACTCATTGTGTACCCAAGTTCAAGTTCAAGTATGTTTATTGAGATAAGCAATAAATAGATTTCAAAGGGATAGAGTAGCTTAGGCTATTTCAACCCCCCTCTAATTCAAGTCCCTCAAGGGGTGCACAAATGCTGCGAGTACAAATAGACAAATAACATTACAAGAATCCAAACAAGAATTGTGTACCCTATACTCACAGGATGAGTATAGGGTACACAATAAACTACCACTCACATCATGGGTATGGGTTGCACAAGAAACTATCGCGCAGAGGATGAATATGGAGAGCAAAGTAAACAAAGATTCACACGATGAGCCACATTATTGCGACTTATTCCCCCCTGCTTGTACTAGAGCATTTTCTTTTTGTTGGCAGACAGCAAAATCTCTACTATATTTCTGTATACGGTACTATGGAAGATTTTCAAGCATATTTGATTTATAACTTTTGATTTCCATTAAAAAGATTTCTCCCTATGGAACTGCTGATAAATAAGAGCACCTTTCAAGCTTAAAGAAAAAGACTACCGTATCAGGGATTAATCAAAGGCAACAATTTATGCAATTTCCGACACTGACCAATAATCAATGAAGTGTTTTTATTTTCCCCTTTCATTCCCTAGTCAATTGGTTCTTTTTTATACATCAGAAGTTTAACATTCACATTTTAATAAATCTACTTAGTTCAAAATCTGAAATAATGACCGAGACATTCATATTGCTGTCCCTATTCTTTTTAATATTACATCAGATCTTAAAAGCCAGCTTTTTGGAGTTCCCGCAGTTGTGCCCCAAGTCTTTCGCCCTTAAACTTCCGTAAGTGTGTTTCCTGTAAAAATACGACATTAAAATACAGTAATTTTAGCTTATTAATTTTTTAAAATATATTTGTAAGCTGTAAATAAATAGTAGCAATGAGAAATAATGCTCTGAATGAATTTAAAAAGTACCTTTATTAAATACTGTACCATATTTGCTAGCGCATAAGGACATTGTTAAAAAATTATTTTATAGTTCATCATACATTTACTGTTCTGAGGTTTTGTAGAGAAAGAGAAAAGTGTGTATATATAAATACAATATATATACTTGTGGTGAACCAAAAATGTGCATTCTGTCCACTGGCAAATAAGGCACTCCACTTGCCCAACTAAAGCCCATTTCCTTTTACTCTGCGTGAAAACATGTTCAGTTAGACAGGACAACATCCTGTATAGCACCTCATGGAATTTTCAGCCAACCCTGCAGGGTTAAGTGCAAGGAAGCCACTGGAAAATACCAAATCATGACCAGAATGATTAGCAAATGTTGACTCAAAGGTTGAAGGAGGACTTCAAAACTCCTTCGGAGTACACACGCAGCACCGTTGGTGATACTCCTATCAGTTGGACTTCTTAGCCATAATCCATCAACCATCACCACCAGATGGTCGATGGGTGAATCCACACCTACCCTGGATTCACAGGCCCGAATCAGCCCACATACAAGACACTAAAATCAAACTCAAAGCACTGGCAAAAAAGTGAAAGAAAGGAAGGGAACTTTTGGTCATCATATCTTCAGCCACGTTATTGTAACTCAGACATTGCAGCGGAAGAGAACAAGAGCTGTTAGGATTGAGTGTGATGTGTATTTTGACCAGACCACACACTAGAAAGTGAAGGGACGACAACGTTTCGGTCCGTCCTGGACCATTCTCAAGTCGATTCAACATACTTCAGCCACGTTATTGTGACTCATCGTCTGCTGATGTGTATTACTTGGTACACTTATTTGGGCTCATATTGATTCTGTTTAGTTATTATTTACCTTATTTCTAACCTTGTTTTATATCTTGTGTTTGTAAAGATCAAAGTTTATTTTAGTCTAACAAATCTAGAACAAAAATGTTCTCCAGCCAAACTATAGCAAGAGCAATCAAATGGTCTCTGAAAGACCACTTCATATAGAATACTGTACTATTAAAAGCTCATTTCTGAGCCATCCCATCAGTTGTTTCTTAAAATATGTCTTAAAAAAAGAAAATTGGGAGTTCTTACCTGTGCTGAAGAGCAGTGTCCAAGGAAAGCATAAAGGGGAAGAGTTGCTGCTCAGTAGAGATGCATCAGAAAATGATAGCATCAGTACATCAACAAAGCTTAGCAGGCAGAGAGTCAACCAAGAGCTACACATTGATGGCCCAAAGAGGAGAACTTTAGGAAGATATTTAACTCCAAGCTCTGATCTCTATACAGGATGTGGCTGAAAAGACAGCTCTGCAAGTACTACACCACAGGCCCACAAGTCATTCACCCTATGGTACATGTGAGGCCGAGTAACCTTCACGTGCCAGAACAGCATCTGGGAGATGTTCCTCTTGCACCAAGGTTCACACTCAGGTCGAGGAACATGGTGCCAGAAGACACAAGACTATGCTAGTATATAGCATCAAAGTAATGGAGCAATGTGAAGCACCCCATACACAGGACCCAAGCCTGAACGAAAAAGGCCCCATACAAAAGGAAATTCTGTCTATACATAAACAGAGAATGGAGGCACACAAAAAGTCTGTCCAAAAAGAAAGACACTTCCCTGTGCTCAATGCAATTCATGAAGCTTGCTAAGCCTGAGAGGAAAGTAACAGTACTTAAAAAATAATTTATTATTATTAAGTACAGTACTGTACTTTATAAATGTTTATTTATTTAGTTATTTATTTATTTACAAGAAGGTACATACCTGGAGAGAGGGTTTCAGGAGTTCTTCTACTCTATGGAGCAGTTCTCTAAATAACTGCTTGACAATGAGTTTGTGAGAGTACATACTGGTAAGTTTACATTCCTGCAAAGTCACTAACATGCATAGCATTTTGGGCAGGTTCTTAATCTAACAGATCAGGTAAGATGAACCAGTACATTGTAGCTATATTTGATATCAACATATAACTACAATGTAAAGTGACAGAGGTGATTACATCGGAGAAGATGCATGTCTTAAGTATGTATTAGTATTAGGGGAGTGGGTAGCACAAGATACAGTGTGAGTTTGAAGCACAAGGAAGGAAACTATGAGGATGAAATGAGGATGTTTTGTTATATACAAATATTGACATATTGAGAGACCAAATTGGCTCAAATAGAGCAAAAGTGAATTGAAAACTGCCTCATTCAGCTGCAGAAATGTCCAAAACCCAATTTGAGGGATTTGAAGTGCTCACCTCTACGAAGCAAATATATCTGGCATGGTCATCCTGCCCTTAAAAAAAGTAAGCAATGGCATTAAGCCTACCTCAGGAACAAAAGATCCTTATGCTGTTAGACTCCACAGCAACTGCCATGCAACTGGTACTGGTGTAAAGAAGACCCTCAAGAGGCGTAAAAATGGGATCTACGTCCACCGTCCCCCTGCAGCGAACTCACCACCAAATTGAACTCCAGTTCAAAATTCCAGGCAGGGCAAGGCATTTGGCAATGTTTCCTATATCAGGCAGGGCAAGGCATTTGGCAATATTTCCTTACACTTGATGCTGCTCTTTCCCTTTGATGCTGCTCTTCACCTAACATTTACTAATAACCTAATAGTTCTGTTGAGAGTTGCTGACCATAGTATGCATCCAATAATTCATATATATTAATGCATTATTATGGCATGCTCATACGCAACCCTATTTGTGGAGTCTGTGTGTCTTTTTCTTAATCTATGCATTCTGAATTACTATAAAGTCCACTTACTATTCTTTTCTCCATATAACTGCTCAAGAATGCTTCAACTTGAATGTGCTTTTGTAGGAAATCTTCCGCAATTTTTTCACTTTCCTCTTCGGATTGTGCTGCAACTATTAGCAGACTCTCCTGCATTACAAAAAAATATGTAGTGTATAACATTTGTAAATAAATTAAAAACTGAGTAGGGGATCAATTCGTGAAACAGATTACCAAGTAGCATAATAGATGGGGAATGGCCTGATTAGTTCAAGCATAGGTTAAACATACAGTATGCGTATATGAAAGTTTGGTTGGATATAAATAAGAGCTGCATTGTATGGGCCAATAGATCTGCCATTTTCTGTATTTTTATGTTCTTAATACGTTTGCACAACTTCACAACATAACTAACTCACTTGCATTGTGTCAATACAATACAGCTTATATACTACAAGGTTTGTACAGTTATTAAGAGAATATTGTACCAAGATCAAACTATAAGAGAAAATAATACAAAAATAAAAATGTTTAAACAGAAGAATCAAGTACCACCAGGACTATATGCAACATGGCAATCCAATCTCTACAAAAATCTGAGAATATAAGTTCTCCCCTCGCATCATGCATGAAAATATTTAGGCCTACTTGCAATACAACGCAAGTACAAAACCAGCAAGATCTTAAAAGCCGAGATGCACTCAACAATCATCACGTAAAGGCTCACTACCCAACAGAGGCTAACGTCACCAGTCCTGAACTACTTTAGCTACTTTGAAGTGGAATTTAATAACAGATTTAACAACTTTCTGGGAACTGTACTTTATTAGAAAAGTACAAGAAATTGAGCAAAGATTAACGAGATGAAAGAAGGTGTGTAGATTGGATATTTGCGCAAAGAAATCTTGTTGAGAAGACATGCGAGAAAATAGCCTTTATGGATTTTGTAAAAGAACATAACAGTTAATAGAGAAGGACTTTTGGCATGTAATGAGCAAGTATGTAGTTGGGTCCTGTAGCACAGTGAAATATGTCTTCAATTTACAACCAAGGGACAAAGGTACAACCCCTGGGCAGGACAGAACTGGTTTGAGCACACTTCCTTTCATCTGATGCCACATCTGTATACCATACTCAGTTTGGAATACACACTACACACCAAGCATGTTTATCAGATCCTTCAGCCTCTAATCCACACTAGGTCAGGTTGGAGTAGCCACTTATGAACACTTCACCTGAGGATTCAATGACTCGGCAAGCATTAGAAATATTGCCAGAACAAAGGTGGATGTATTCAAGAGGCACTTAGATAAGATCTTGTAAGAAGTGCCAGACCAAACGGGCTGTAGTGGATGTGTAGGCCTGCGGGCAGCTCCAAGCAACAGTCTGTTGGACCAAGTCATCACAAGTCGAGCCTGGCCTCAGGTCGGGCTCGGGGAGTAGAAGAACTCTCAGAACCCTCTCCAGGTATAATCCAGGACTGACACAGCTTAGTAGTGTAGGTCAGAGCATTAATACAAATATATAAGACAGGCAATTCAGCATAAATTACTGTCATTCACCCAACTCAAGAAGAGAGAAGTTGAAATGAAGTAACAAAATAAGTTCTACAAAACCTAATATATTTATAAACAGTATTAAATTGGGCACATATTATACTCAACGAAATTTAGAGTAAAGTGAAACCACAGTAATGGACAAGAAAAAACATCAATGGGAATAAACATTCAAGCCCATTTTATGCAGGAAGAAAACAAGTTGGAATTCACTTTTTTTAAAGTGACCCAGCAGTTCATAAGAAAAATAAAATATTGAAGCAACGCTTAATTACAGAAAACACACTACATTAATGAAGTAAATTATGAGGTGAAAACAATAAGCCAATGTGAGTATATAGCACATGAAGGGAAAGAAGTACAAGACTGAAGCTGGAAGAGGAAGGGCAAAGTGAAGAAACATTGGGAATCGAACTTAAACCAGCAAGAAGTAAGGTCGTCACTGTACTAACCAGTACAAGTGGCTGGACACTACTGCAATGAGAGAGATTAATAATGATGTACTGTAATTCAGTTGCTACATCAAATTACTTCACTAGTTTACCTGGATGCTTGCTGGAGCCAATTTCTCCGAGGCCTTCTGCTGCATGAGGGTCATTTCCTCAAAGCTAGCACGTAAAGATGTGAGCTCTTCCACTTTCTGAATTGTTGCATCTCGGGCATGTTCATAATCACTACTGCGTTCTAAATTAGCCTCTGTAACAAATATATGCAATTCATATAATAGTCTTAACTGTATAATAAATGTTCTGATTTTTTTTTTATAAATACAAGAGTCCTTACATTCTTGTGAAGCCACTGGCATGCATAGCATTTTGGGCAAGTCCTTAATCCTAATTTCCCCAGGAATACGACCCGCCAAATTGTTTAACAACTAGGTACCCATTCACTGCTGGGTGAACAGAGGCTACAGTTAATGATTGGCGCCCAGTCAATCCTCCCCGGCCAGGATACGAACCCAGGCCAAAGCGCTCGCTAAGCACCAGGCACGTGCTTTACCACTATGCAACAGGGAATGCAACTATATTATTGCAATTTTAGAAGAGGCTGACGGTAACTGAGGCTCAACAGAATGTTAACCAGTGCCCAGGCCAAAATAGTAATACAGTAGATACATAATATATATCATCTCCCATATCTCTACATTCATACAATGAAAAAAACAATAAAAACATCAAAACAGGAACCTACTAGCTAAAGCTTCATTCTGAGCAATGAGTTGATCACATTGTGTCTTAACTGCTGTCATCGGAGGCAGAGCAGCAACAAATTCAGTTAATTTGTCATCACACGTTAATAAATCTTCCAGCTCATCGCGACTCAAAGAGGCTACTTCAGGTAACACACCGACTGAAAATAATGAAATAACAAAGTTAATATTTGTTGGGCATCTGAACATGCTTTTTTTGGTGTGTGTGTGTGTGTGTGTGTGTGTGTGTGTGTGTGTGTGTGTGTGTGTGTGTGTGTGTGTGTGTATGTAGCTACATGCCTACCTAACTGCATCCAAGGTGAGAGATATCTACTACCTTAAGGCTATTGTACGTGATGCTTTTCCATTTCGCAATGGCTTAAAAAGCTGTCAATACTTGCTTTTTTACATTGAACTCAAGGAAAGTAATTCAGTATTTATCGAAAGAATACATCAAGCCTTGAGGAACACATAGTAGTAAAATCAAGGCGTCTCCCACGACTTCAAAAAGTTTCATTTGTTAGCACATGTATACTGTATATTTTTCTTTACACTTCTCTGACTATTTATTGTTAAATGATCCATCCATTGCCATTCATTTCACCTACCCTCATCTCAAAGTATCTCTCTGTCCACTCCATCTAATCCTCTCAGTCTCTTATACACTGATCATATCATCTCTTGTTCATCTTTCTTCTAATGTTGTTTGATTGCAATCTTAAATTTATTCTCATTTCCTTCACTAATAATTTTCAAAGAGCACTTCTCATAATTACTCACCAACTTTAACATCTAATTAAGTAGCAAAATGGTTAAGCAAACAGCATATTGCACAAGTACTGTAATACTATATAGAAAAAAAAGAGAGTGTGTGTATACCAATTACTAACTTACCTTGGGGAGAATGGGCTACAGGAAAGTAAGAATGCGGTGAACTGATATTGGATTCCATCACAATATTGCCTTGAAATGTCTCCACAAGCACTGTATATCCATAAAGAGATCTGCAATTAGAATATAAATTGGTGACCTTCAGTAAAGATTTACAAATTACATATTTTATTTTGTATTAGATAATATGCAAACTTGAATCTTAAAAAAAGAATTAAAGTACACTGTACTGTATAATTGTACATGGGTTAAATTAATCAACACTGTAGTAGAGAAGTTAAAAAAGAAAAAAAAGGAAATAGCAAAAATAATACAAATATATGAAAAGTACCTGTATTAAGCACAATTGACAAACACTGCAAACATTTGAGGCAAGTGACTTTTCAATCTTTTTACTAGCAAATACCATACTCTTAAAAATACTGAACTGCCAAAACTATAGTAGAAGTCTTTTAAAAAGGAAACTGTCAGATCACCCAGGTTGTTGGAACTACTTTATGTGGGCATGCAGGTGTAAAAGGAGCAATAGCCTGACAGATCAGGCTAGTGAACTGAGAAACTAGTGCAACCACCTCATTAGCCTGGGCTGCTACTTCTCCAGGCTGGTCGGCGAGAGTAGAAACAATAAAACTGGCCTCAAGAAATACATAAGCAATACATGTACTGAGAGGAAGACTGTATCAAAATATATATGAAGGTAAGATTAACAAAATGCCTTTGCCAAAAATTTGCCCGAAAAAATGCCAAATTTGCCCGAAACGCTATGCGTACTAGTGGCTTTAGGTATTGTATGTACTACCTCTATCTTTAAATCTAACAGAATGTTTGTACTGTAACGCTGCACCTATGTATGTACTGTTCCTAAATAAATTATTATTATTATATTATTATAAAATGCATTTTTAACAGTTTTCTGCTCCCACAGACCAGCATGCAAAATGAAACTTCAAAAATGGTGGCATCCCCCCAAAAAAAAATTCTTTAAATATAATCCAACAATATATTGGAAAGTAAAGGTATCCAATTAAAAGGTTGTAAGAATATGTAGGACAATTTTTACTTTTCACCTACACCTGCCAAACACACTACGATACCTTGCATAGTAACAATATCATACCTTAACGGTCAGTGGTTCCCAAGAAATAAGCCACCGAACAAAGAGAAATAAGCCACCAAACATTGGGGTTTCTCAGTGTACCTGACACTGGAAAACCAACTCAAACACCTAAATAAAGTGGTGCTACCAAACATAAAAAAAACTCGCAAATGGAGCGAGTAGTCCTGAGGAATAAGTCACATCGTACACAGGACAGTTCACCCATGGATTTTACAACCTAACCTAACCCAATAACCTAACTCCCACCATACCCTAGACTAACCCAATCATAAGACAGCTTAATCTACACTAACCTAACGATACAGATGGTTTTGACAATCAGAAAACGAGCTTTAAACTTTCATTGAACAGTTAAAATTGACTGAACTGCTGTGTGCATGCTTTGACCTAATACTCCATGTAACACTGACATTGACTAACTTCTACAAATTCATTAACCTGCTTCCTGTGTGGTTATCACTTAAAAAAAAAATATATATATAATAAAAATGTAAATTTCTTGCAAGTAACAATGATCACGTGTTGAACCAAGGTGTGGCTTCCTCTGGTCTGACTCCTAGACACAAACACATATTTAGGAGCGTGACACACCCTCCCTACGGGTCCATAGAATTACCCAAATCGACCCAAATCGGCCCAAAACTACCCAAATCGTCCTAGCATTACGTAAGTAATGAAGAAATATGGTATATTTACTTACTATAATGTTGGTGCTACACGTAGAACATGATCAAACTTATTTTTACTCTGAAATAATCTAATTTCATAACGAAATGAGACGTAAATATGCGAGAGGTGACGCCATAGGAAGTCGACGGTCCAAGCGACAATTGTGTGGAGCGACTTATCCAAGATATATGGTCGCCTGGAGAGTGTTTGCTGCCATATCAGCCTCCTGTACACAGTGATCCAGTCGTCGTATTTCATGGCTCAAATTGTCGCAAATTTAATTGGTAATATTAACAAGTAGAATGTGTATTTATAATAATATTTTTCATAAACAGCCACAAATTATTTAATATTTATTAAAAAAAAGTGTCTGGAAGTTAAATCAATTCCACATGACAATAAATTTGTTATATAGATACTAGCGTTATTCGTTGGTATGCGTTCGCTATTTAAACTACTCCAGTCCTTTTCGTTCATAGAACACCGAACCCTACACGCTCTCTGATATATTGCTTAATTAACAAATATTCACAAATAAAGATTATATTTATATATGTTATCAGAAAGGCAGATATAAAATAGTTTGTGTTAATGCATCACAGAGATTATACCTTATTAGAGAGGAAAAATATTCATATTTTAAACAAGGCTTCTTGGCCGACGCTCTCCCTTTCGATGGGAACTATGACCTTTTGAAAATCAATGTTAATTGAATCTATATATTGTAAAAAACGAAGTTTTTTATGTCATCAGAAAGACATATAAGCTGCATGTTAATACTTTGGTAAAAATATAACTGAAGTGAAAGTGAAGATATATGCCTTTTTATAGTTACTTGATGGCTCGCTCAGGGAGTGTGAAGGCCTGCACACAAGCCAATCAATTTTATAACTAATGTACATATATGCAAAGTAACGTCAAAGGTTTTTATTTCAGAATAAAGACAGATGTTATCGATAATGTAAATACATTTCAAGGAAAACATATCTTAAATGAAAGCAAAGATATGGTCAAATAAATAGGCAATACCACACCATCGCCAGTGTCCGGACACATGAATATTCGCATTAGGTAGGTGAAAGGAAATGTACCCAACCATTTCCATTTACGCGACCAGTTTCCGTTCTTATGTTCTTACATTTATTGAAATTTATCATCATCATCATTTACAGAAATAAATTAACATAAAAATGTAGTAATTTTAATACACAAAACAGAAGTAGATATGTATGTAAATTATGACGCAGGATAGGATCACTATTGCAGAACTATTCGCATACTTTGCGTCATTATATACAGTACTGGAATTTAAAAAAATCGCGGAATTCAGAGATAACACCATGTTGACCAGACCACACACTAGAAATTGAAGGGACGACGACGTTTCGGTCCGGCCTGGACCATTCTCAAGTCGATTGTGATGAGGAGGTAGGGAGACGACGACGTTTCGGTCCGTCCTGGACCATTCTCAAGTCGATTGTGATGAGGAGGTAGGGTACCCTACCTCTCCCTACCTCCTCATCACAATCGACTTGAGAATGGTCCAATACGGACCGAAACGTCGTCGTCCCTTCAATTTCTAGTGTGTGGTCTGGTCAACATACTTCAGCCACGTTATTGTGACTCATCGCCTGCAGATAACACCATCATTGGTGTCCAAGAAAAGTGTAAGTACTTCATTTATAATGATGTGCTGCCCGAAATCTTAGCGAAGTATCTAAAATTTGCTTACTGTAAGTAATTCATGCAAATGATTGTAAAGCCGTCGCCCAGTTGGGTGGGTGTGGAGCACATGACTGTCAAGCTGCCGCTCAGTTGGTTGGGTGTGGAGCACATGACTGTAAAGCTGCCGCCCAGTTGGGTGGGTGTGGAGCACATGACTGTTAAGCTGCCGCCCAGTTGGGTGGGTGTGGAGCACATGACTGTAAAGCTGCCGCCCATTTGGGTGGGTGTGGAGCACATGACTGTTAAGCTGCCGCCCAGTTGGGTGGGTGTGGAGCACATGACTGTTAAGCTGCCGCCCAGTTGGGTGGGTGTGGAGCACATGACTGTTAAGCTGCCGCCCAGTTGGGTGGGTGTGGAGCACATGACTATAAAGCTGCCGCCCAGTTGGGTGGGTGTGGAGCACATGACTGTTAAGCTGCCGCCCAGTTGGGTGGGTGTGGAGCACATGACTGTTAAGCTACCGCCCAGTTGGGTGGGTGTGGAGCACATGACTGTTAAGCTGCCGCCCAGTTGGATGGGTGGTGAGCACATGACTGTAAAGCTGCCGCCCAGTTGGGTGCGTGTGGAGCACATGACTGTTAAGCTGCCGCCCAGTTGGGTGGGTTTGGAGCACATGACTGTTAAGCTGCCGCGCAGTTGGGTGGGTGTGGACCACATGACTGTAAAGCTGCCGCCCAGTTGGGTGGGTGTGGAGCACATGACTGTTAAGCTGCCGCCAAGTTGGGTGGGTGTGGAGCACATGACTGTAAAGCTGCCGCCCAGTTGGGTGGGTGTGGAGCACATGACTGTTAAGCTGCCGCCCAGTTGGGTGGGTGTGGAGCTCATGACTGTTAAGCTGCCGCCCAGTTGGGTGGGTGTGGAGCACATGACTGTAAAGCTGCCGCCCAGTTGGATGGGTGTGGAGCACATGATTGTTAAGCTGCCGCCCAGTTGGATGGGTGTGGAGCACATGACTGTTAAGCTGCCGCCCAGTTGGGTGGGTGTGGAGCACATGACTGTTAAGCTGCCGCCCAGTTGGGTGGGTGTGAAGCACATGACTGTAAAGCTGCCGCCCAGTTGGGTGGGTGTAGAGCAAGACTAGTAATTGGACGACTCACCATAGATGTAAAGTGCCTAGTATAGTGACTTGTGAGCCTCTTGTTGAATCACTTGTGATACAAAGATTATTGATGTGTGTATTTGTGTGGGTGATTGAATATGTATGTGAATGTATATGTATGTATATGTATATATGCAATTGACGATCACGAAACAATAATCATTTGTATGCGGAAAATTCCATATTTCATTTCTCTGGATTTACCGCATATGTATATATATGTACATGTATGTATGATTATGTGTACATGTATATATAACATTAATAAGAGGAAATGAAGATGAAGAAATGATAAAAAGAATGGCAATAGTGGATAGTAGTAACACACTTAAGAATTATTCAGTAATAAATACAAACTCGTCCTTCACCTATGATAAAGGAAAGTCAACTTGGAAGGATTCAATTTACATGAGATTAAGATTAGGATACAAATATATCTGGCAATACGGAGTTGATGTCAGTGAAAAAGATAAGGAGTGTAAATTATGTAGTATGCCGCACGCCCACACCTTAGAACATTATGTATTAGAGTGTCAACTTATTGATAACTATAGAAATAATGAAATAAGTAATGTACCACATCAAATTGTTTGTATGTGTGATAATGGTATGATAGACAGTATACTTAGGAGCTACAAAAATTTTGCCCCAAGAGTGTAACAATTGTATGCTGTACTTACTATATTAACCTGCAATGTTAAATGGGATTCTTGTAATGTTAATTGTCTATTTGTACTTACTGAATTTGTGCGCCCCTTGAGGGACTTGAAGTAGAGGGGGTAGAAATAGCCTAAGTTACTCTATCCCTTTGAGATGTATTTTTTTCTTGTCTCAATAAACATACTTGAACTTGAACTGTAAATATTTGTGGCTTCCTGACCATAAAGTTACCGCCGCAGTCGAGGGTAAGAGACCGGATGTACCCAGTATACAAGCCGCACTAGCTATTAGTTCATAAAAGCTGACAACTTACCCAGATAAACATTACTTCCTAATTATATATATATATGCAAATAATACTATTAAAATGTTTAAAACGTGATTATATATATGTATCATGTGGACAGTTTTTAATGTAATTTTTTCTCCTGATATTCGGGTTCTTTATTATGCTTCATCTTGAGGCAAAGCCCAATACCTTACGCCATATTGATGCTCTGTCTACAGATCATTCTCTCTCTCTCTCTCAAATCATATACATTGATGGTTTCCTACACCGCCACACGGGTGCAGCTGCAAGTGCAGTTGCCTCTACCCATCAGACAGAACTATTTGCCTTGCTTGTTACACTAAAATGTGTACAAGTGTGTGTGTCTATGTATGTATTAACACGATGTACGAGCAGCAACAAATTCAGTTAATTTGTCATCACACGTTAATAAATCTTCCAGCTCATCGCGACTCAAAGAGGCTACTTCAGGTAACACACCGACTGAAAATAATGAAATAACAAAGTTAATATTTGTTGGGCATCTGAACATGCTTTTTTTGGTGTGTGTGTGTGTGTGTGTGTGTGTGTGTGTGTGTGTGTGTGTGTGTGTGTGTGTGTGTGTGTATGTAGCTACATGCCTACCTAACTGCATCCAAGGTGAGAGATATCTACTACCTTAAGGCTATTGTACGTGATGCTTTTCCATTTCGCAATGGCTTAAAAAGCTGTCAATACTTGCTTTTTTACATTGAACTCAAGGAAAGTAATTCAGTATTTATCGAAAGAATACATCAAGCCTTGAGGAACACATAGTAGTAAAATCAAGGCGTCTCCCACGACTTCAAAAAGTTTCATTTGTTAGCACATGTATACTGTATATTTTTCTTTACACTTCTCTGACTATTTATTGTTAAATGATCCATCCATTGCCATTCATTTCACCTACCCTCATCTCAAAGTATCTCTCTGTCCACTCCATCTAATCCTCTCAGTCTCTTATACACTGATCATATCATCTCTTGTTCATCTTTCTTCTAATGTTGTTTGATTGCAATCTTAAATTTATTCTCATTTCCTTCACTAATAATTTTCAAAGAGCACTTCTCATAATTACTCACCAACTTTAACATCTAATTAAGTAGCAAAATGGTTAAGCAAACAGCATATTGCACAAGTACTGTAATACTATATAGAAAAAAAAGAGAGTGTGTGTATACCAATTACTAACTTACCTTGGGGAGAATGGGCTACAGGAAAGTAAGAATGCGGTGAACTGATATTGGATTCCATCACAATATTGCCTTGAAATGTCTCCACAAGCACTGTATATCCATAAAGAGATCTGCAATTAGAATATAAATTGGTGACCTTCAGTAAAGATTTACAAATTACATATTTTATTTTGTATTAGATAATATGCAAACTTGAATCTTAAAAAAAGAATTAAAGTACACTGTACTGTATAATTGTACATGGGTTAAATTAATCAACACTGTAGTAGAGAAGTTAAAAAAGAAAAAAAAGGAAATAGCAAAAATAATACAAATATATGAAAAGTACCTGTATTAAGCACAATTGACAAACACTGCAAACATTTGAGGCAAGTGACTTTTCAATCTTTTTACTAGCAAATACCATACTCTTAAAAATACTGAACTGCCAAAACTATAGTAGAAGTCTTTTAAAAAGGAAACTGTCAGATCACCCAGGTTGTTGGAACTACTTTATGTGGGCATGCAGGTGTAAAAGGAGCAATAGCCTGACAGATCAGGCTAGTGAACTGAGAAACTAGTGCAACCACCTCATTAGCCTGGGCTGCTACTTCTCCAGGCTGGTCGGCGAGAGTAGAAACAATAAAACTGGCCTCAAGAAATACATAAGCAATACATGTACTGAGAGGAAGACATGCTCTGTCTACAGATCATTCTCTCTCTCTCTCTCAAATCATATACATTGATGGTTTCCTACACCGCCACACGGGTGCAGCTGCAAGTGCAGTTGCCTCTACCCATCAGACAGAACTATTTGCCTTGCTTGTTACACTAAAATGTGTACAAGTGTGTGTGTCTATGTATGTATTAACACGATGTACTGAACGGGGTGAGAATAGCTTGAGCTACCTCATCCATTTGTGTGTATTTTACCTCAATAAACTTATTTCAATTTCAATTTCAATTCAAGTCTCCAAACTTGATGCACTAATTGTAAGTGATTTTCTACCATCCTGCATTAATTGTAAGTGATTTCTATCATGCTTAATTGCGCGCAACTCTCTAAGACACAATTGTAACATGACCGTGTCTGAAGCTAGACAGAAAACACAACATTATTAGTGATGGTAACATAAGCCATTTCATGTGAATTCCATCTTCGTTGACCTCCGAAACTTGAGGAATGGTCCAGAAAATAGCTACTAAAGTTTAAGTCAAGTGTGAAGATACTTTAGTTGATACTTAGATACTTCCAATAAGTGTAAACATAAGTGCTGACGATGCTACCTTCCTCTATTCAGACCCCAACCCAAACGCACTATATAATAATGAAAATAATAGATTTAAAAAGTCCACTCATGGATGTAAACTAACAAACTCACATCAAACATAAAAAAGACCGACTACTATTTTTGTTCGAAAGTAAATCCTGAAACCAAATTCAACTTCAGATACACAATGTTAACATTAGCAATAATGATTATGGAAAGTTCCTTGACCTATACATAGACAAGAGACTGAACTTCAGCATCCACATACAACACATATGTGAGTGGTGAGAGAGAGAAAAAGAGAGAGAGAGAGAGAGAGAGAGAGAGAGAGAGAGAGAGAGAGAGAGAGAGAGAGAGAGAGAGAGAGAGAGAGAGAGAGAGAGAGAGAGAGAGAGAGAGAGAGAGAGAGAGAGTGAGAGAGTATTCACCTAGTTGTGCAGGCGCGGGTTGAGCTCTGCTCAAATTCGGCCCGCCTCTCAACTGTCAATCAACTATTACTGACTAATTTTTTTTCTCTCGCACACACACACACACACACACACACACACACACACAAACAATCGACCGGGTAAACAAGGATAAACTATTCAACACTGGTGGGACGCGAACAAGGGGACACAGGTGGAAGCTGAGTACCCACATGAGCCACAGAGACGTTAAAAGGAACTTTTTCAGTGTCAGAGTAGTTAACGGATGGAATGCATTAGGCAGTGATGTGGTGGAGGCTAACTCCATACACAGTTTTAAATGTAGATGTGATAGAGCCCAGTAGGCTCAGGAATCTGTACACCAGTTGATTGACAGTTGAGAGGCGGGACCAAAGAGCCAAAGCTCAACCCCCGCAAGCACAAATAGGTGAGTACAAATAGGTGAGTACACACACACCAGGAAGCAACCCGTAGCAACTGTCTAATTTCCAGGTACCTATTTAGTGCTCGGTGACATCACATTAACATTTACAGAGAGTAGGGAATTAATTAGGTATCTGGGAGCTAGTTAACTGTTGTGGGATGTATATCTTGAGGTACTGTATACAATGTTCACAACAGAGCAATGTATAATCATTTCATTGTATACAACACATTGAGAAAGAATGAAGGTTAGATCCGAAAATTATTGTGTGGCTCTCTCATGACTTGTTTCCGGCGCGAAGAGTTGTGAATTTACATGAAAATGTACCAACAAAATCTTGTTACATAGCAGTAGGAGTAACATTTACTCCCTAGGTCCACGAGTCTAGAGCGCTGTCCACTCGGCCACCACCTCCCTTATGAGAGGGAGAGAGTGAGTGTGTGTGTGTGTACTCACCTAATTGTGCTTGGGGGGTTGAGCTCTGGCTCTTTGGTCCCGCCTCTCAACTGTCAATCAACTGATGTACAGATTCCTGAGCCTACTGGACTCTATCATATCTACATTTGAAACTGTGTATGGAGTCAGCCTCCACCACATTACTGCCTAATGCATTACATCTGTTAACTATTTTGACACTGAAAAAGTTCTTGTACTTGAGGTACAAGGGACAGAGACACCAAGGTATTTGAAAGAAGAGACATAGTCTATTGGTATGTTGTCTATCTTAAGTTTTCGTGGTCCACTTTTGCGGTTGCCAATTTGTCTGTTAAATACCTTAGTTTTAGCAGCGTTGATTACAAGACCAAGGCTCTCACAAGCTGTATGTATACAATTTAAGACTGTTTGCATTTTGCGGTGGGTTTTAGTATGCACAAGGATGTCATCTGCATAGCTGATAGTGATGTTTGCCGGACTAGTTGGGATTGATTTTAGTAAAGCATTAATTAGAACATTAAACAAGGTAGGACTAAGTACTCTTCCATGTAGGGTGCCTAGTTGCATTACTTTAGTTTCACTCTTGTAGCCTTGGAACAGTGCAGAGGACTTCCGGTTGGTAAGATAGCCTCGTATCCATTGTAATAAATGTCCCCCTATATCCATTCTCGCTAATTCATACATAATCACTTCCCTATTAGCAATATCAAAGGCATTTTTTAAATCAAGAAATGTTGTGTACTTGTGCCTTTTATCTCCATGAACAGTAAGAAAGGTTGTGATACAGTTGTGTACACTTTTACCATGTGTGAAACCATTGATATCAGGTGACATGTGCTCTTTAACTCTATACAATAATCTATTAAGCACCATTCTCTCAAAGGTTTTGCACATGCAACTGGTCAGTGAGATGGGACGGAAAGCATCAGGTTGGCCAGGCTTTGGTACAGGTACCGTAAGACTGGTGGTCCATGATACAGGCAACTGCCCAGAGACATAACTGGCATTAAACAATTCTAATAATGGGTTACCGGGTACACGATGTAGGAGTCTTAGAATATCATAGGTGATACCGTCCTCACCAGGAGCAGTGCTACTGCCCCTGGAGAGGGCTGCATCCAATTCATAATCTGTATATGGAACATCACATTCATCATGTTGCTTGCTCAACATGAAATTTATGAGAGAATTTCTGTCTGTGGACCTCGCCTGCAATTTCTCCCCAGTGCTAGCTGGTAGCATTCCAAGGCTGGAAACCTGAGCCCATTTTGCAATTAACTGATTGGCTTTCTGTAGCGGGTTTGGGTGTGAAACTTGTCTACTATTTTTACCAATAATTTTGTTTATGCCTTTCCAGGCTTTGCCCAGGGGAGTATGCAGGTTAAGTCCACTAACAAAACCCTCCCATTCATTTTGTCTCAGTTCAGTCATTCTCTCCCTCGCCGCTGCAAGCGCGGCCTGAAACAGTTTTAACATTTGAGGAGTTCTAAGGCTCTTATATGCTTTACCTGTCTGTCTAGCAATTGATTTAAGCTCTTTCAGTTTAGCATCATCATAGTACTGGTTGTGTCTGACCTGTTTACCAGTACTTCTTTGTGTTTGGCGTGACTCACTATTTTTGATGGCCTCATAGGTATATGGGTACATCCGGTCTCTTACCCTCGACCGCGTCGGTACCTTTATGGTCAGGAAGCCACGGATATTTACAATGGGGCTCGGTCAGTCAATATGATTCCTTTGACATCACTCAACTTATGTATTCTGTTCTCGTATTGACAATTTGAATGATATCAAGAATATTTTGAATATCTTCTGACATAGATGGTGCTGTAGTTGATTGTTGTTCATGACCTGTCCAGTGGGTCGAGACTGGTCTCATTAGCATCTCTCAGATTAGTGGGAAGAAATTCTTGCTGCAAGAATGTGTGTTCTCAGAGCTAACTAGGGTAACTAAAATACTTATTTCCTAAATAAATACTTTAATTGTAAATATTTGAAAATATATGGTATGTTTCCGAATTTCTGACGATATAAAACATATTGTGGTTTATAATTAAGTTCTTAATAGTGATCCTATCCTGCATCATAATTTACATAATATCTACTTCTGTTTTGTGTATTAAAATGACTACTTTTTATGTTAATTTATTTCTGTAAATGATGATGATGATAAAGTTCAATAAATGTAAGTAAGAACATAAGAATGAAGGTAACTGTAAAAGACTTATTGGCCTATACGAGGCAGCTCCTCGTATGGAGCTGCCTTTGATAAGTAATTACCAAAGAAGGCACCAAGCCGGGAAGGCTGTGTAGCACAATAAAATAAGTCTACTGCTCCTGAAGAGGACAGTATTACTTACAGTTTACTGAGATTAGTCTCACAAGTACCAGGTAATCCACTTTTAGTGTTGTACAGAATGAGTTTAAGTGAAGGAGTATTACCTGATGATTGGACAGTGTCATTGTTCCCATCCCCAAAGCACACTCAGATAATTATAGACCCATATCTCTAACATAATTTTGTCTATTAGCACAGTTTTCGGCGTGAAGGCATTGAGTAGATCTCGGCAATACAAGAAGTTTCAAGCTAAACTTTCTAATATGCTACACTCACCTGAGGTCCGTAGAAGAGCGAAATCTGATTATGCATTTTGGTTCTACAAGGTAGCCAACTCCATCAAAATAATAAATATGTACCCAAGTCAATTAACGATTAATCAACCAATTACTCCATGGGATAACTTGGATCTAGCAGTTGATTTTGTAAATGCACCCAAGAAAGATAATGTACACTCTACATTATTAAAACAGTTAACACTGAAAAGCATCACTGAGAGTACTCAGGGTACGGGTAACGATGTGTATCAGTGCTATACCGACGGTTCTGTAGAAGAAGGTGGACGATGTACCGGATGTGCATGTAATATATTTGAACAATCTTCTCTCGTACATACAGCAATGAAGCGCGTCAATGATTGGGCAAGTACAACTCAAACCGAACTTGCAGGCATATACCTTGCCACGGAATTTTTAAAAGACAAAGGCAGTGGACTTATATACTGTGATTCGCAGAGTGAACTCCTGGTATTGAACGCACATAGTAGTGACACCCAGAAAATAGTCAGTGATATTCGAATGAATATTTTAGCTGCCAAAGAAAAGAGATTTGAAATTAAATTCCTATGGATACCATCACATGTTGGCATCTCAAGGCATGACACTGTTGATATGCTTGCAAAGACAGCCTGTAGAAAACCAGTGGTAGAAATTGATATGGGTGTTTCATTAGCAGTGACAAAGAGAATACTTAAGCAAACATCTAATGAAAATCTCACCGACCTAACAAATTCACAAAGACCTGAAAGTTGTAGCATTAAATATTATGATAGATATCGTGCGGAGACATTCACATACAGGATTAATGGAACAAGAACCCAGCAATGTGATGTTATAGTGGCCAGAATACGCTTGGGATATAGACGTATCTGGCAGCTTTCTCAAAACCCAAATGTCGAGTACACAATGTGTCAACTTTGTGAAAGAGAAAATATGCACTCCCTTGAACATTATATTGTAGAATGTCCCATACTGACTGACTTTCGCCCTCCTGGGCTAAGGTATGCTGAACTGTGTAATTACTATACTATTTGAGTACTGGAACACTTGATGATATATTGAACTTGTACCCTAGATTGACCATGTAACGTATCAATTATACAATGAATGTATGTGATGTAACTCTATAACCTGAGCTTGTGAATGCACCTTAATCACCTTCAGTGATTAAGTGCTTAATTGCACACTAGTTTCTCTATCAGTTATCTCACCTTGTCAGAGTAAAAGAGACAAATATATGTGTATGTATGTGTGTATATATGTATGTATATATATGTATATGTACGCATACGTCTGTGTGTGTATATGTATGTGTATAAAGTATATGTGGAAGCTGGTCAGAATTCAATTTCACCTTTGTAAATGCACGTTAATGACACTATGTAAAAGACACATCGAACACTTTATGTAGGGCATACGTAAATCTGTGTATTTATGTATTTACGTATGTAGCTTAGCCTAGCATTTTAAAAACACTACAATCACCTTATGTGGTTGATTGTTCAATAAATCCCTGAACTATATGTTTAACAAATCTCTAACCCTATCAATGGAGTTAGTTAGTTTAGTTCTTATATTATGCACCCTATACCCATCTTGTGGGCGGTAGTGGAAAGGGTTAGAGTCCATGGCGGACTGAAGAAAATGTATATATGCTGGTTAGCATTGTTAATGTGTGGCCACGTCTGTGGTAGAAAATAATACAAAAAATCAAATAAAGGTATTATTGAAACTTTATAGGAAAACATTAAATCCTAAATATATCTTTAATATTATACTTGAAATATTGTATACTTTGCTCTTTCCATCGTACTTCTGCACCTGCTGGCAAGTGGTTCGGTGCAGTGTGCAGGTGATGTTCATTACTGGGTGAGCTGGCAGGTGGTGCTCACCTGCCAGCTCACCCAACGAAAATTTGGTTTTTAATACACTTACACATTTATTGGGTCTTTCCTTCACCTTCATTCAAGCACTAGAGTATTACAGTAAGTGTTTTAATTATAATATTTATTAACGTTATTATTTTTAATTTGTATTATTATTAGTATTATTATTAACAGGAGAGGAGTGTGTGTGTGTGTGTGTGTGTTGGGGGGGGGGGGGGTATAATGGTACACATGTCCACATCCCAATGCCCGCCCTTCCAGGACTGGGGGAGCGGGGGTGTACAATAAACTATACCCACATCCGGCGGCAGCTTGTCGAAGGCGGAAGTGTAGCCTAGACAATTTGTCATGATAATTAGTGATGACTCTTATTTTGATTATGGGTCCGTAATCCAGTTAAGCTTTTATTCTTAATTTATATTACAATGCTGGTAAAATACACTTCTTGATGATGAGTATGGAGTACAAATGAACTCATTGTGTACCCAAGTTCAAGTTCAAGTATGTTTATTGAGATAAGCAATAAATAGATCTCAAAGGGATAGAGTAGCTTAGGCTATTTCAACCCCCCTCTAATTCAAGTCCCTCAAGGGGCGCACAAATACTGTGACTACAAATAGACAAATAACATTACAAGAATCCAAACAAGAATTGTGTACCCTATACTCACAGGATGAATATAGGGTACACAATAAACTACCACTCACATCATGGGTATGGGTTGCACAAGAAACTATCGCGCAGAGGATGAATATGGAGAGCAAAGTAAACAAAGATTCACACGAAGAGAAAGGGTTGCGCAATGTCCTATGACTCACAGAATGAGTATTAGCTGCACAATAAACTACAGGTCACAGGATAAGTATGGGTTGCACAATAAATTACAGGTCACAGGATGGGTATGGGCTGCACAAACTACCGGTAACAGGATGAGTATGGGATGCACAATAAATTACGGGTCACAGGATGAGTATGGGTTGCACAAACTACTGGTAACAAGATGAGTATGGGGTGCACAATAAATTACCGCACAGAGGATGAGTATAGGGTGCACAAACTGGTTGGGTAAATGGAAACGGTTGGGTACATTTCCTTTCACCTAATGCGACTATTCATGTGTCCGGACACCGGCGATTGTGTGGTATTGGCTATTTATTTAACCATAACTTTGCATTCATTTAATAATTATATTAAGATATGTTTTCCTTGAAATGTAGTTACATTATCGTCTACATGGCTTTATTCTGACATAAAGACCTATGGCGTTACTTTGCATATATGCAAAGTAATTATAAAATTGATTGGCTTGTGTGAAGGCCTTCACACTCCCTGAGCGAGCCATCAAGTAACTATAAAAAGGCATATATCTTAACTTTCAATTCAGTTATATTTATGCCAAATTATTAACATGCAGCTTATATTTATGTCTTTATGATGACATAGAAAACTTCGTTTATTACAATATCTAGATTAAATTAACATTGATCTTCGGAAGGTCATAGTTCCCATATCGGTAAGGAGAGCGTCGGCCATGAAGCCTTGTTTAAAGTATGAATATTTTTCCTCTCTAATAAGGTATAATCTCTGTGATGGATTCACAAAAACTATTTTATATCTGCCTTTCTGATAACATATACAAATTTAATCTTTATTTGTGAATATTTGTTAATTAAGCAATATATCAGAGGGCGTGTAGGGTTCGGTGTTCAATGAACGAAAAGGACTGGATCACTGTGTACAGGAGGCTGATATGGCAGCAAACACTCTCCTGGCGACCATATATCTTGGATAAGTCGCTCCACACAATTGTCGCTTGGACCGTCGACTTCCTATGGCGTCACCTCTCATATATTTACGTCTAATTTCGTTATGAAATTAGATTATTTCAGAGTAAAAATAGGTTTGATCATGTTCTATGTGTAGCACCAACATTATAGTAAGTAAATATACCATATTTCTTCATTACTTACGTAATGCTAGGACGATTTGGGTAGTTTTGGGCTGATTTGGGTCGATTTGGGTAATTCTATGGACCGCTCCCTACTGCTGTAATACACTCACCCACTGCTGTAATACACTCACCCACTGCTGTAATACACCCACCCACTGCTGTAATACGCTGTAACCGTGCCTCCAGTGGTCAGTGCCAGGCTCCAAGGTGCTCTAGGAGTCCAGGAAAATGGTCCGTACTAGGTCAAGAAGTCCTTCATTCCTGGCCTTCTCCTCCCTGTCTCACTTGACGTAAACAAACACTCGCAGTTTCTAAGGAAACCGATCCTTATAGATATTTTTTGGGTAGCTTAATAAACGTTATTTTTATGTATTATTATTATTATTAATGCAGGTGATGAATTCCCAATGGTGAACATTCCAATTAACTATGTAAACAAGGGCTTGTACATACTCGCTACCACAATATCTGTGATTGCCCTGTTCAATCAATTATTTCAGGTCAAATGGCATGAAGTATTTTGCGCTCTATAATTATTTCATGCACTCAGGAATATTGGAAGATATTCTTGTGCTGTACGTAGAGTTTGGTAGTGGGGGCTAATCAGTCTGTCCTGATTTCATGTATGACTGGCCGTCATGTGAGGTGGGGATGTTGGATAAGCATGTATTTATTATTATTTATTTCTTTATTATGCACCCCATATCCATCCCGTGGGCGGTGGTGTAAAGGATTACAGAGGGACATAATCGGTTCAGGAACTGAACCCTCTAGTTCGTTTAGCTAAGCAAATAACAATCTTTTGACGCTAGTTACAAAATTATTATTGTTATACGTACATGTACACATACTCATGCATACATGTACATATACATACGTATACATATATACATACACATACATATTTAATCACCCATACAAATACACACATCAATAATCTTTTGTGTCAAGTGATTCAACAAGAGCAGACTCCTCGTCTGCATAATATTTCCGTGATTCGATGCTAAGCTCTTATGTAGATCATAAAGTTATTATTTAGTCAAATTTAATTATTTTTTTTTTGTATTGAGGCAGGTATTTTCTCTCCTGATTGACTACCCATCCTGTGAGATGGGAAGATTAGATGAACTTATAACTGGTTTTTGATCTACACTATGTAATCTTTTATTAAAATAGGGTAGCAGCACATTGTTGTGTATACCTAAGCGTGTCAAATAAAAAACATAAAAATCTCTAATGGCCTCGACGGAGACAGGTAGTCGGCGGCTTGTCAAAGGTCCCATCATTGTCCCTGGGGAATTTTTCCAACTGGTATTTACGGCTTCGGAGAGTGGCCGGTTCAATGGGTTTATAACCCAATAAATGGGTGCAAAAAAAAATCCGTTCCTGTTTGTCTGTCATTGCGGCCTCTATACCCAATCTGTAAGCGGAATTGGGATTACAGAAACACATTATAATGGGTCCAGGAACTGAAACACAATTAAATATTTAGCTCTCTCGCTTAATAAATATCATTTTAATCCATTATAATGCATTATTTTGGGTCCAGATAGACTGTGGCCCCCACAGATCTATGATAGACTGTGCCCCCCACAGATCTATGATAGTCTGTACCCCTTTAGGAACATAACTCCGTCAGTAGCGTGTTATATAAGTACCTCTAGGTATGGTCAGCCCTCCCAAGACTACTACTTGGATGTTGACCAGACCACACAACACTAGAAGGTGAAGGGACGACGACGTTTCGGTCCGTCCTGGACCATTCTCATCGACTTGAGAATGGTCCAGGACGGACCGAAACATCGTCGTCCCTTCATCTTCTAGTGTGTGGTCTGGACAACATTCTTCAGCCACGTTATTGTGACTCATCGCCTGCATACTAATCAAGGGAGGGGGACAGATTACAAAACTGACCTGATCCGTAGCGGTGGGTTGTTGTGGTGGTGGTTGAGGCCGTGGTTATGATGGTGGTAGGGGTAGTGGCAATAACCGTGATGATGGTTGTGGTTGGGGTTTTTGAAGCTAGAGGTTATGGTGGCCTAGGGGTAGTGTCGATAGTGGTAGCGGCAACACAGACACTAGAGACACACACATACAGGGTAACATCGGCAGCATATGTGATGCTGGCAAACATTAGAACGTCACTTAAAAACCTAAATAAGGATTACTTGAAGACAATCCACAAAGCCTAATTAGACTAAAATGGAAGGAAATACTCGTACCCTGTGCGGGGGGTCAAGAAATGGAATGAACTGAAAAAAGTTGTGGAAGCCACCTCCAGCCACAACTTTAAAGCCAGTTTCGACAAAGAATTCCAACCTTAGAAGAGTTAAATTGTAAAGCAACAGGTGGAACAAGTCTGGGCAGAGGTGGTGATGGTGTTGGTGGTGGTGAGGCCAGTGGTGGTGATGGTGGTGAGGCCAGTGGTGGTGATGGTGGTAGTGGTGGCGGTGCTGAAGGAGGAGGAGGTAGAGGAATGGGTGGAAGTGTTACCGAGACGTCATACAGAAACCCTAGTGCCAGCCTCTCAGAAATGGTTACACATCCCAGTAAATGACTCCCTGACGTCATATCCTGGGACGTCAAACATCATCTCCCGAGTGACATGTAACAACCAACTCAGTGAGTTTACCATCGTCGATACTTATTATCGAACATCTGCAACCCTATTTCAGAATCAGTGTCTACCTATTTTTTTTTATGTAAATCTAAATAACTTGGTTAAATTTTGTAGCCATTATCTCGCGTCCTGAGTTGAGGTGATTAATTAAAATCTTTTGTAATGTTTAGTTTGGTAGTTAGCGATAAGTTTAACCTACGATGGCCAGGGGGGATGTTTTGGCTAGGATATGAAACACAAGGAAAGTGTGTGTTCCTTTACGTTATCACTAATCTTTAAACGCTTCTAATCTACCCTAACCCAGCCCAATCTAAACTAACCTAACCTAGCCAACCCCACCCAATCCAACCTATTCTATCCTAACCTAACACAACCTATCCTATCCTAACGTAACTCAACCCATCCTGTTCTATCCTAACGAAACCTATCCTAATCTAACCTAACCTATTCTAACAAAATTAAGATAAAAAGTGTTTTTATATAGCTTGCAAGAGGTGTGTGACGTCATAATGCTCATGAACGCCTCAGATTTCAGAGCCTTCTGAAGTATTCAGGTGTGAGGCTGACGTCACGGGAAGCCCCCACAGGATACGGCGGCCTTAAGGGACGCCCTCGGCATGATGGCCTCAGCTGACACACTCAACCAGGATTCATCCAGCACTTAAGTGTCCTCTTACGAAACCAGTACATCTTTCCTCAATCAAGACGGCGTAGTTTTCATTTATTAATTTTTTTTTGATGAGTTCGTAAGCGTTACGAGGTTGTTTATAACAATAATACCCCTGGGTCGTGAATGACCTCGTAGAACGCGCTCGTAAATTGTTTAAAAAATAAATATCAGACCATAATTGAGGAAAGATGTACGGTGCACCAGATGTACTAACAATATTATAATAACCACTTGCTTCAGCATCACCCTAAATTGCAGTAATAACAACAACAACAACCTAACCACAAAGAACATCATCCACAAACAACGACAAAGACCTTCTAGCACGGACATGAAATAACACCGTCAACAGTAGGAAAAAATAACAAAAAGATTATTTCAACATAGTCAACAGAAAGCCCCGGTGATGAATTGGTAACTGAGACATCAACAACAGCATTGACAGCAACAAACAGGAAGACCTATTGACATATCCTGGACACGAACCACGAGCGAGGTAGCAGAACCAAGAGGTAAATCAGCTGTTAGGTTACCCTAACTGCTGATCCAGCAGTTGACTGACTCAAGTGCTCATTTAGATGAGTGTGCATTGTTAGAGTTGGCTGTGAGTGCCAGCGTGGGCGGCTGGCTGAGTGCCAGCGTGGGCGGCAGGCTGAGTGCCAGCGGGGCACACCGAGGATGAGCCATCACAGTGGTGGTGACGGTGGGGCAGGACGCTGGCTGGTCTGAGACACTCTGAACATCGCGCTAGTGAGTGCCCCAAGTTCCCCGCTTCCCAGTCACACTTTGGCGCAGTGACACACCGTAGTGCAGTGACATACCGTAGCACAGTGACATACCGTAGCACAGTGACACACCGTAGTGCAGTGACACATCGTAATGCAGTGTCACACCGTAACGCAGTGATTCAATGAGATAAAAACTGTTGGAAATGTTTCCTTTCATATGATACAGCTGTTCACCCAGATGTTAAATAGGTCCTAGGGGACTTAGGTAATTAGGAATTATGTCCTAGAAACCTGTTAGGAGTGATTGCAACAGACAATTGAAAATCCCCGAAGTAAGCAGCTCAGTAATATTGTGATTTAGAATCCTTCACAATTCCCTTTTATACGCACGTCTCACATGCGTAAATAAAACGACGGTTGGTTTGGGCGTATGCTCGTGAATTTTGACGATTGATGATCAATTACGAGGGACTCGAGAGCCCACGAGTGCTTCCTCAAGTGCAAATTAGAGAAGTGTATGTTAGGTCAAGCGTTGTCAATAGTAAACAACCTGTTCTCGCTTGGAGGTTCCGACCTGCAATGTTTGTGCAGCCGACCAAGTGTTGGTGAGGCAGTGTTGGTGTTGTGTTGGTGAGGCAGTGTTGGTGTTGTGTTGGTGAGGCAGTGTTGGTGTTGTGTTGGTGAGGCAGTGTTGGTGTTGTGTTGGTGAGGCAGTGTTTGTGTTGTGTTGGTGAGGCAGTGTTGGTGTTGTGTTGGTGAGGCAGTGTTGGTGTTGTGTTGGTGAGGCAGTGTTGGTGTTGTGTTGGTGAGGCAGTGTTGGTGTTGTGTTGGTGAGGCAGTGTTGGTGTTGTGTTGGTGAGGCAGTGTTGGTGTTGTGTTGGTGAGGCAGTGTTGGTGTTGTGTTGGTGAGGCAGTGTTTGTGTTGTGTTGGTGAGGCAGTGTTGGTGTTGTGTTGGTGAGGCAGTGTTGGTGTTGTGTTGGTGAGGCAGTGTTGGTGTTGTGTTGGTGAGGCAGTGTTGGTGTTGTGTTGGTGAGGCAGTGTTGGTGTTGTGTTGGTGATGCAGTGTTGTGTTGGGGAGACAGTGTTGTGTTGGGGAGACAGTGTTGGTATGACACATGTGTTTCAAATGTCATGGTGTCTTTCAGGGATAGGACTTACTAGGCTAGTAATAGTTATAGGCTAGGCTATATAGGCAAGTTAATTATGAGTTGTATCAAAGAGCATTGTCGAGTCATATCTAATGCTGCTTAAACGACATACCTAGCATCTATGCCACGCCTCTAACCTAACCTAACCTAACCTCACTTTAAATAATCTGCAGGTTATCTAACTTTACTATACCCCAAAAATTGTTTCGATTAACACAACTATTTTGAGCACTGGCAACGAGTTTGCTCCAGCTACCGAATTCTCCAACGACCAATAATCCCGTTCTCGTAACAAGTGGATTTTTAGCTCCCCTCTATGTAGTACTGTCCTTCCTCTAGAGTAACAGGACAATATAAGTTAGGTTAGGTCTAGTACGTTACCTGAGATTAGATTATATTAGTATTCCTGACATTAGCTTAGATTAGGTTAACAACAAGGGTAGACTACTGCATTTCCCATCTAAGCAACAGGAAAGTTCTGTATCACATCGGGAAATGAGAGGTATGTCGTTCCCCTACGCTCCATTATTTCATCCTCTTATGCTTGTCTGATTTTGTGCATGCGTGGGAAGCAATTGGAAAAATGTATCTGCACGTATTATCGGCAATAATTACAATGCCGTTATTGAAAGATTAGGTTTCCCTGTATATTTTGCCTTTGTTTGGAAATAATGGATTTATTTCTCATCTGCAGTGTTTTTTTCAAGTGAAATAACTTCACATGAGAAAGAAATGTGAATCATACGTAAATAAGCGAACATTAAGAAATACGTGATCATAACTGACTCAGAAAAAAAGATATTGCGAATTCTTAAAAAGAAAACGTGAAAATGCGACTTAATCTGAGGACTCGGAGAGGCGCGTTACCTGACGGAGTCCTCCTCCGAGGCCCACAGTGTGTCAGTAGTCTGGTGGTGGTGGTGCTGGCGGTGGTGGTGGGGATGGCGGGCGCCACGCCCCCAACAGCCGCCACCAGCCCGGAGGTCAACCTCGAGGATACTGTCAGAAGTCACACTCAGACGCTCATCAACATGGGCAGGTATCTGAGGCAGACTGATAAGTTTTGGAAGTGGTACCAGGAGAACCACAGGTGAGTGGTTATCACACACACACACACACACACACACACACACACACACAAAGGAAGCCGTGGCTGGCCCTTGATAACCTGGTTATTCAGTGTAACTGATGACTATTTCTTTAAAGAAAAGCGTCAGTCAAATCAAGGCTTTTCCTGTGACCTATGTAGACATTATACCTTTCCGTTTCTCTCTTCTTTCTCTTGGCGTGAGTAGAACATTTAAACTAACAGACAGTCTCAGATCTCATGAACATTATATATGATTGCAGATGGACTGCAATAACGGTATTGCATGGACAAATTTTGCAACATTTTCCAGGTTTGATGACCCAGCATACAGTCCACCCTTGAATAGAGCCCAGCATGCCCAAGCTCTTTCAGAGAGCCCGACGTGCTCAAACTCTTTCAGAGAGCCCTAGCCACGACGAGGGAGTGTATGACATTTAACTGGAAATCCCTTCTGACTGTGACTGTCTCTCTCCTCCCGCTGCCAGCCAGGCTCACCACAGCAGGAATAACCTCTATGTTAAATCAACGATCAGTTAATGTAGGATCATATCGTTGATCACTGTTACATCGACGTCTTAACCCGCCCCCAAAACATAATTGAGATATAAATGCTGGAGGCGACGATAGAGACAGGCTCGATGATAAGAGATTAGTTCACCTTCCTATGTACTGGTTGAGGGCTGGACAATCTGACATCAGGATAGGCTCGTCCAAGGAACGGCAAACCTCAAAAACGTATTCATCAGCTTTAAAGAACTGTGTATTAACAATTTGTATTTTATCAAGTGTAAATTTTATTCACGGGCTCACCATAGCCCGTGCTACTTGGAACTTTTAGTTCTAGATAGCAAATCTTTAACAACAACAAATAATTATTTTAATTTGCATATTAAAATTTGGTTTATGGGTAGGCATAGGATAGGTTAGGTTAGGTATTTATGTTCTGTTGACAATTTTTTTTTGTGGTACTTGGGTGAAGTATTTAGAGGTGTGAGATTTAAATAGGTCAGCCTCGTATACAAATACTTTTTAATATTTCTTAATCCAATACTTAATACTCTTCTTAATACTTCACATGTAAAACATTCCTTGAACAAAGCTTCACTCACAACATCTGTTCGAATCGCAACTCTGTAAAAGCCTCAACCACGTATTGCAAATACAAATAATTTACAACATAACGTATTCACCTACTCTAATCTATTCTAGGCTTTTCTGTGCACTAAATTCAAATATATTTATAATAATGCTAATTTATATATGAGACAATGTGTTGAATACACGGGCCGTTGAAAATGGGGTCGTCCGCAGCATGGTCGAACAGCCTGAGAACGGGATAGAATTAGAGATTTCATCAAAACAAAACAAGTTCGTAGCGAACGCGTAGATCGACGTGTCTAATCACCAAAGGGTCAAAAGGTGAAGGAATTCTAGTGGTTGAGTGAAGGAGAGGGGCGCCGCAAGGGACTTGGCCTCATACACTTTTCTCTATTAGAAAATTTAGAGCAATACAATGGAATTAAACTCGCATCCGTGATCACACCAGATGCAATTCCACATTTTTTTCCCCATAGCTTGATCAAGCTATTATGTGATTTCAGTGTGCAATTTATTATCTATATAAACTCAATCATCAACAACAGGGAAATTCAAGTTTTGACAGAATTTTGGGAAAGAGAGCAACAATAAATAACGATTGTATAAGTGTTGAGCAAGTCATCAGTCATGAGATGTAGAAAATATATTTCAATGTAAAAAGTTCTCTTTGGGCAGGACAAAAATGTTGAATAGAAATGGAAAATGTTTGATAAACGAATAATTGATAAAGAAAAGGATATTTATAACGACAAATTCATGAAAAGACAAGAGAGAGAGTGAGAGAGAGAAAGAGAGAGAGAGAGAGAGAATATTATCCCGGGACGAAAGCACTGACGTAGCCTCGCTTGGCTAAGGACACCACACCGCCTCTCTCTGCTTCCGTTGTCCCTCGTCCTCAGAACTGAGGATTTGAGGTGAGGCGCTTAATTAATGTCCATCAGCCATGGGAGAATGATAAATAATAAAGAAGTTGACAACAGGTTTTCTAACCAGTCAGCATGTATAATTTTATTCAGTGTGGGTCTTTGTACACTGAGAAATTGGCAGCCTATCCTCAGTGTTTGACGATTGTTTGAAGGTCAGTTTGCAATAACCTAGTTCCAGGGTTTGATCGTCCATACGGCGACTGTCTCCAAGGGCACATTCGTAAATACTTCTAGTCTGTGTAATTAACAACTTACATTTTCTCAATAATATAAAATTATAAATTTGTGTGTAGCTAGGCTAGGTTATGTTATGTGTTTGTATCTGTTAGCAGTTATTTGTATATTTAGTTCATGGGTGAAGCATTCAGAGAGAGAGAGAGAGAGAGAGAGCGCGAGGCAGAGGCTTTTCAAGCACAGGAAATGAACGTAATAGATAATTCTGAATCACGTGCACATTTTGTTGCTGTTCATTCAACATCAAGCAGCTGCTGAACTAACAACCCAATACTATGGCTGTGCTCGTACGAGTTGCGGCCGACCCCAACGTATTGTTAAATAAAATAAAACAATTTTTATATAAATACTATTGCGTATCTGTATAGTTAAACTAAGGATTGGATAGGTTAGGTGTTTTGGCTCTGCGAGGGGCAGTGTCTGCTGGATAGTGTCTGGGAGGAAGAATGGGTGGATAGGTGATCTGAAGAGAAAGAGATATAGTGTACGAAGTATGTGTTGGAGGATGAGGATATGAAGAGAAGCAGGAGGAGAAGGATATGGAGTAAAAAATAGATGAGAAGAAGAATTAAATTAATCAAATAATGTGACAGAAAAAAAACATAAGAAGAAGAATGAGAACGAGAAAAAGATCTCAAGGAGATGCATCAGGAGGAGGCAGAAGAGACAAGAAGGAAAGGAAGGCTGAAGCTGCAAGTAATTAAGGTGTCATAAAGGATGCAGAACATGTGTTCAAACAGGGGGACAAGGAGTAGGAGGGTAGTGAATGAGTCACATTGAAGAGGAGGGCGTCCCACAGGCGAGTCAGCTGGCATCCACGCTCTTTACACCTAGTATTGAGGCCAGTGTTACACTGTCACCACTGTTAAATAATACAGATCTATACAACCCAATTACATGCCAAAAAATAATTAGATTCAATATATAATGGTTCAATGGCCCCTGTTCTGGAGCCCCAGAACAGGTGCCCAACCAGGATTTTACGATAGGTCCGCCCACATATAAATCATATATAATACATTATTATGAGTTGCAAGATGTTTTCAGGCAGTTGTTATACGATTCAATAGAAATATACGTAACATGTAAGAGGAAAAATTACCTAGAATAAATTAGCTGTCATTTAGTTTAGATTTAATATGATAACGTGTACTGAACACTCAAAGGTTAAGAACATATTGAGGGAAAAAAGGTCATTTGGCCCTTTTTAAGGGGGGTGGGGCATAAGGCGAGTGCGTAGGCATTAAGTAGGTCAGAAGGCATTAATTGGCATAAAGGGGGTCATGGTGCCAATGGTACACAAGATGGAGAAAGAAAAATAAGTAATATGTTGACAATGTTTGAAAATGACTGAGAAAAAAAATGGGGCTTGAACTCCGTCCATCCTCCCTTTCTGCGGGTAAAAAAGAAAAACAGGACGCGAAGAAAAGGGTGTGAAGAGCGGCAGGGGGAGAAAGAAGAGAGCAGGACTAAGCAGAGGAGCGGAGCGTGAAGAGGTGGAGGTAGGATAGAGTTACAGTGAACAAGGATAAGACACATGCCAGTGTATATACATCGACCTAGAATCAGGACACACATGCAGGATACAGTCTACAGTTTGGGACACCCTGTAGAACACCGCGAAGTCCCAAGCAAACCGAATGTATAAAACAAAAAATGTATAACAATAGATTTAATAACCGAGATAAGATAAGTTCTACAGGAGATATCCTAGCCTCAAGTGTCACGTTACAACTAGGAAAATAACACCATAACCGACCGATTTAGAACCGAGGACCGTGACACACATACCAGCGCAGATGGGTCAAGCGCAGAGTACACACTAATAATAAAAAGGTTTCCCCTTGTTTTATGAAGGAGAAAACCAAGAGAAAATGGATTAGAGCAGACTTATAGGGCTCCAACAATGTAAGTGTTCCATGTTCTTTTGTCCTACCCTCACACCCGTTCTTTTATATTTTATTTTGAGTTATTTGACATTTTTTTTACAAGTTGCACGTTGTTGAACACAATGAAGTTGTTGTTGTTAAAGATTCGCTACCTGGAATAAAAAAGTTCCAAGTAACAAGGGCTATGGTGAGCCCGTAGACCACAATGAAGGGTTAAAAGGTCTGAATCTCAGCTTCTGGATAAAATCAGGAAACAGCAGGCGTTCCCTCTCTGGAACGCAGCAATGAGGCGCTGATAGGGGATAAACGGCAGCTTTTGTGTGTCTGGTTGTCTTACTGAGTCTAGAGACTAATTCCTTGAGGAAACTCATGGCACCCCTGGCCCCTGGTGCCATGTGTCTCAGATGCCATAGGGAAGAAACGAGTACCTAGGTACCAAATGCTTGTACATACTTGATTTTACTGCTTCCCTGTGGTTGGCTGTACCACATGACTGATCAACATCTTAGGATATACAGGTATCAGCCACGTACAGTCCTACACCAGCTGTGTACTGTTCTTCTAGGGCTATGTTGTGATACCATTTGGGCAAAACACATGACTGTCAAGGTTTTCAGCCAGAGGAAAACGAGGTTCTCTCTCTGCTGGGCACTGGGCGGTGCCAAGGCTCCTATACACAATGATATCACTGATATCATTGTGTATTGCATATCATATATATATATATATATATATATATATATATATATATATATATATATATATATATATATATATATATATATATATATATATATATATATATATATATATATATATATATATCTCGCTTTAACTGGATCACATATGGGTCAAGAAGAGATAAGTAAAATATGGGTCAATTACAAAAAGGAGTTCTAAACACTTAAGACAGCTGCAAGTGTCTTGACTCACAGTAACCCAACACTTTATTATCTTCTTCAGTAACTTTCACCTCCCTTCTTGCTTCACACACACACACACACACACACACACACACACACACACACACACACACACACACACACACACACACACACACACACACACACACACACACACAAAATGTGTGAAAGATTAAAAGTAAACACCGAATAATTTGGTCTTTAAAGTGTGACTCTTTTTCAGTTTGGAGACAAAATATTCCATAGCATTCAAAAAGTGCCCATGAACATTGCTCGGGAACACTGGTAGCGATGAAGTGTTACTTTACATTGTGTAGTTCCCTATAGTAGCCAATCTTAGCGCAGTGGCCATATCTGACACCACTGCATCTTGCCTCACCTATGCACCAGGCAGTTCAAACCAGTCAACTTTTATGTCTGAGGCCTCAATACAAACCTATGCACAATTCATTAAAGTAAGGATTCGCTAAACAGAGTAACCAATTCTAACTAAAATCATCAATAATGAATCAGACACTCAGTATATGTCCACTATATATAATAAAAACGGTTCAAGAAAGTAATGTAATGATAATATGTATTTTAATTGTTATTATTATTATTATTATTATTAGTAGTAGTAGTAGCATTTATTAAATTATTGTGGCGGCCACCCCCCCCCCCCCCCGCCCTCCCATGCTATCTATCATGATGTTATCCTTCAGCTGTGTGAGTATTCCTCCCGTGCTAACGCCTGGGAGGTGGAGTAAGTGGGAGAGGAAATGGGAGCTGTGTCTGCTAAGTGGGAGGACAGGATTAACATGTATATTTAAGTATATCTTGAGTTGGTCTTAAACTTTCAGTCGGTCTTAAACCTCCAGCTGGTCTTAAACCTGTTCTGTGTTATCTTCCAAATAGATTCAAATGCATTTTTACCTTCTCGGTCGCCGAAGGCGTCTGGACGAACTGTTGGCAGGAAGCCCAACCAGTACCGGCGATGACGACAACCCGACGCTGGGCGCCACCGTCGCCGACCTCTCCATAAGGCTTGAGACCATGCAGGTGAGTTCCCAAGGTCAAGCTAGACACGAAACCCTCTGCTGACTACCAACTCTCTCGGGTATCCATTTTAACATTGACAAAAGCAATGAAGAGGCGGGCCCAAGAGCTTCTCCCTCTCGAAATAAATATTAAGCATACACAATGACTCCTCAAACGCCTTTTCCACCCCTCTACACCTCACAGGAGCAGTACGACAGCAGACTGCAGGAGCAAGAGGAGCAGCTGATGCTGCTGCAGGAGGCGCTGCAGCAGCAGAGGAAGATCAACGAGGACCTCCAGGCCGACCTTCAGGACCTCTCCAGCCGCGCCTCCACTCAGGAGTCCATCAGCGCCAGGCTCTCCAGCGACCTGGCCAAGAACCAGCAGGTAGGCCTCCACCTCCTTGGCAGCAAGAAAAACAAGAAAGGAAGAGAGGAGATAAGGAGAGAGAGAAAGGATGGTGACTTGGACGGTCGGAGAGAGCCGACCTGCAGAGAGAGAGAGAGAGAGAGAGAGAGAGAGAGAGAGAGAGAGAGAGAGAGAGAGAGAGAGAGGGAGAGTGAGACTTGAAAGAAGTGTGAGAGAGAGATGAGAGAAACCTCAGATAGTGAGCCGTGAGAAAACATAAAGAAACGCGAAAGAGAAGGGTGAGAGAAGTGTAAGAGAAGAGAGGTATGAGAGAGAAAGAGACGAAAACAATAAAGTAACCTGAGATAAACAAAACAACTTGTAAAAGGGAATAAAAAATCAAAGAAGTTAAATAAACCAAGAAAATCTCACGTCTCTTATAAGTTTCAATCATCATTATTCCAACACCAATAAAATAAAACTAATAATAATAATAATAATAATAATAATAATAATAATAATAATAATAATAATAATAATAATAAAGTTTTATCAAACTTTGAATTAAAGTTTGATGGTATAATTTAATAAGTATTCATAGGACATGGGATAGGAGGATTAAAATTATATATTAACTGGAAAGTATTGATTTTTCTGCTAATTCTTTTATTCATAAATGTTATTTTTTATTGATTATTGTCGATTTTCCTAGATAGAAAAAATTATGACTTGTGGGGATCTAGATGGTAAAAATAATGCCTCTTGTGGATCTAGATGGTGAAAGTGATGCCTCTTGTGGATCTAGATGGTGAAAGTGATGCTTCCTGGGGGATCTAGATGATGAAAGTGATGCTTCTTGGGGGATCTAGATGATAAAAGTGATGCTTCTTGTGGATCTAGATGATGAAAGTGACGAGAATGATAAACAATGAGAGTGACGTTGTGGGTTGATGTTACAGGCGGTGACGAGGAGTGAGACGGCGGTCCAAGGGCTGCTGAAAGAGGTGGGTGAGAACAAGACTCAAGACGTTCTCATGTTCGTAAAGAACCTTGCAATACAGGCCAACAGGAGTATAGAAGACCTGCATGGAGAGGTCAAGCAGTTCCGTGACCACCAGGTACCTAGTGCATGGACTTGTGGGTGATGGAAGGAAGGAAGGAAGGTAGGTGAGGCGGGGGAGACCAGGATTGACTTGATCTGGAAGACTGTTGGTTGAGGCAGCCAGCCCTGCCCCCTTCCCCTCTCCCCCAAGGGCCTACAAATAAATCAATTGCAGTCCTGTTGACTCGGTACTTCCTGCAGGAACTGGTCTATCGGGGGTTCGAACTCAGGACTCTAAAATACGAGACGTTTACCCTACCAACCAGGCCAGGGGATATTTAGTGAGGGGTAATTTAGCACTTATGGCGTAATTTAACACTTATGGGAATACTTTAAAAGGATAAATCTGTCATACTCAAAGGACAGTTCTCATGCCCTGGTCATCTAATTCCAAGCAAAGTCATCATACTAAGGAGACAAAAAAAACCTATATATAAAAACGGTAGTTTCTGTAAGTGATGATTCAGTCCCTCGTCACGTTAGGCTATTCACTTAAGTATAGTGATCTGGTTCCCTAATAATGACTGTGGTCTCAGTGACACACACGTTCCTACATGGTCACACGGCTGCCTTGCAGGTATATAATAATTATATAATTAATTATATAATTAGTAAGAAATTATATAATTATTAAAAATTATTAAATAATTACATAATTATTTACTAATATAATTATAATATAAATGATGTTGTTTAATAATGATATAATTCTTAAATAGTTATTATCTAATTTTTATTCAATAACATACTCTAAAAATGGGTGGTAAAATTCGTCATAGAGTGGGATAAACTCCTCCATGGAGAATATATGTAATTCTGTCCCTTTTTTCAGATGCCGACCGTCTTGGAGCGGTTAGATGCCCTCAACGCTACGAGTAAAGACAATAAGGCCAGTTGACTTTCCCCGTCTATATATATATATATATATATATATATATATATATATATATATATATATATATATGTGTGTGTGTGTGTGTGTGTGTTACTGTCAGTGTGTCTGTGTGTATCTCTCTTGTTTCTTATACTGTTAGTGGGTCTGTCTATCCATCTGCCTGTCTGTGAGTGTGTAAATGCCTGTCTATATGTGTGTGTGTGTGTGTTTAGGTATTTCAACGAAAATGCAGTGAGGGATAATTCTTTCTCTATGTTTTGATTACCATCTTTTTTTGGGGTCGCA